CATCGGAAATCACTTTATGATGAGTTGTAACTACAAAGAATACATATTTATTCACCTGTTTGCAGATGTTCCTTGTACAACTTTATAATCAAATAACGGGGACTGTGACATTTCGTGTCTTGTTTCAGTCTGTTTTTTATGTATCGCCATTTGGATGTTTATGTATTCACAATAGTTTGCAAACATTTCACATCAGTAATAAAAGGTTTATTTGTTTCATAACCCTGTCTGCTATTGTTCAGTAATTACGATGCGATGTATCAATACGTGCGTGAACAAAATTATGCTAATGAGGTCATCGCCATCTTGGATTACAAGCGGTAGTTTTTCCCGGTCATTTCGACTTGCACTGATCATGGTTACTAAAAAAGTAACCGTGCATTGATTACAATACTTGCCATACTTTGTAGCCAATTTCAGTGAATAATGCAACTTCATTTGCTGACATAAATCAAGTTTTATTTTTGAAATTCGACCCTGTGTCTTAATGTTGTTAGGGGTAATATGGTATTTGTTTTCAGTCAACCTGAAGAAAATAGTTATTTGGAGTTATGTACCTTGAGTAATTCTATGAAAACCACATACACTGTAACCTCAATATAATGAACACTTTTATAATGAATTTCCTGATATTATGAACACATAGCATGTCTCACAAACCCAATGTATGACCATTTCACTGTAACAAACTAATTGTATTTCCCCCAAAGAGTTGGTTATAACGAGGCTAGAGTGTACATCAAATCTGTCATTTTTTGTCACTTTCACTTTAGTGAATGTTTAATAAGCTTATCATTTGATCATGATTTTTATGGTGCAATATGAGAAATTATAATAGTGTGTTTTGACTTACATTTGTGATGTATTTCTATGATATTGTTGTGCAAGGTTCATAAAAATAACAGCAGCTAAGACCTTCACGAATGATAGGTCCTGAAACCTCAGTAATGAAGACATTATGCACCGTTGAGCATTTTGGTAAGAGGGCGCTGCACCCTTGTTACTCTGGAAAAACCCCAGTACCATGTTATAATTTCAGTGACAGCCACCACTGACAAATACCCTGCTCCAAGTTGTGTCAAAAGTCTAGTGTCATGCCCTTGTCCTGCCTCTAGGTGCACCCTGTTTTATTTTCAAACCATGGGGAGACCCCAGTTAATGGTGTCCATTTGTTCAACACCATAGTATCCTCGGGGGCGGAGCTACGTCACGGATGTTCTACGTTGCTAAGACGCGCACCACTGTACCACGTATTTCTATGGGCTTTGTGCGTGCTGCTGTGGGGCCGGTGAAAACTCGAGAAAACAACACAAACTCAACTTTGAAGTAATCCTGAACAACCAAATTCATATATGTTACACACGTAGGGCTAATCTTGTTACTGTTCAGGGGACTCTCAACAACCATTGCAAATTACCGTTTTCTGTGAGTTTCTGGTCTTTGTTTTCACCGCGAAGGTTGCCAGGCGGTAGAAAATGCCCGGATGTCCGCCCCCAAGAATACACACTAGTGGAGTAGTATCTAGCAAGATTTGTATATGATAAAGTAAGTTTAAGAGGTTACAGTACAAATTATTCATGTTATTTCATCTTAATTTTGAGTTGAATTTTGTTTGAGGTACTAGTATCTGTTAACTGCATCTGTAGATTTCCTTGCTCATAACCCCCAACCCAGATGACTAGCTCCTAAGTTCATCTTATTGATTGGTGAGAGCAGACAAATATTTTGTATGTAAATACATATTTGTATAATATTTGAAGTAAGGGGTGATCTCCATATTCAAACACCTGGGTCAAACCTGGGTTAACCTGGGTAAACCCGACCTGTCCTA